CAGAATGATGTTAAGCTGTGCAAAAAGAAGGCCCTGCTCCGAAGAACGCGTCCTTTGCGGTTCACAGAGATGAGGCCCCCCCACCCTGATGACTGCTGCCGCTGCGACCCGAAGAAATGAGATCCCAGCTGTGATTGCATGTGCTCTTACGGTTTGGAGTTTGAGGCTATTGTGTTCCCCGTAGCTCACACATTTTGCTATTTAATATGCGTATGTACGGTTGCTCGAGGCAAACAGCAAACGACAACGGAGCCAACGGGCTCTGCCAACCCGTGCTGTCGCTGCGTGCAGTGCTATAGTGCTTAGCTCTGATGGCTCGTGCTGACGCTACCCGCAGCTTAAGAAGTTGAATTCCTTGGTGCTAACGACTTGTGCTGTCCTACACAGCCTTGCTTCAATGACCCGTGTAATCCTGGATACAGTGATGAGTTGGCTGGCTCTGATGATCTGTGCTGGGTTTTTTACGCCCCTGGCTCTGGTGGACCTGCTGGCCGTCTCATCGGCTGTCCGCCCTCTGCTCACGGAGTGCAACAGCGGGCCTTGATCTTTCGATGACCACGTAGGCATGTGCCAGTGACCAACTGCAAGCTAATCTATTGTAAGCCCCACGCTTCACAACGCGGATGTGAACCACTAGAAGTGATCGCTGTCCCCCGACACGCCTGACAAGCATGTTTGCCATCTTGGAGGAAATGTTAAGCAAATCCGTCACGCGCATAAAAAATTGTTTCCAAAATGCGCAGTAGAGCACATTCACAATTACTCTCTTTTGTTTGTGAAATGTCGAGCCGGCCTAATCTGCTGCACAGAGTGCAGGACAGGGAAGAACTGGCGAATACCGGAGAAAAGTTACCACGAGCTTTGATAGTCGAGAGACGGATATCACACAATACCCTACAGTTCTCCACTAATAAGAGACAGCAGAAAATATTTCAATGCCTATCAAACGACTCACGTTAGTTAGGAAACTTATTAAGGATTTCGGCGGAGAAAAAAAAAATCCATTGAGTGTGAAAAACGGTACATGGGCATTTCCAAACGATTTCCATGCTTTACAAGACATTTAAATCTCCTCTGCAATGTGTTGATGTGTTTTCCTAATCAGCAAATGTTTCACGGTCACCCAGGCATCGAGCACGGACAAAACGATCTCTTCTTATCCCAGCAACATGCCTACCACTCTTTAAATGTTGTTTTGCTCCGTAGAGATCTTTTTCAACTGAAAAATGTCACGTTTGGACGTGATGTGCAACACCTCTTTGGATGAAAAGCGTCCGTTATGAAGTTTGTAATCTCTGAATGCGGCGGTCACTGGCGCCCTGGAGAGCACGAGTGGTTTACTCTGATCCGCGATGCAAAGTTGCGTGCTCTTCTGACCTGCTTTGCTTGTGCCGATCCTGTCAATCGATTTTGAAGTGCGGAGATTTCTTGAAAGGCGCCAGAGACGGGATTGGAGACAAAGACATGGGGGTGGAGATAGATATAGAGATGAAAGAATGCCGTAGCGTTGATAAAACACTGAATAGTCTTAATTATTGCGAAAGACCTTAAGACGCACCCAAAAATCCCAGTAACAGCTAAAATTGTCATTCAAAACCTGTCTTTCACCGTTCACACTTGGTTCGGAACTTGAATGGAGACTGGAATCATTTTTCGCCACGTTCGAACCGGCGATTGCTGCCAAATGCAGGGGTGAGTGTAATCGTCAGTTATCCAAGCTCCAGGAAGAAGACTTTCAGTTGTTAACCCTCGTGTCCTAATGCAGCCTAGCATTGACCCGATGGGGTCAATGTTATCGTTACGTAACATTGAACCAATGTTGGTATCTGTTCTCCTGCGGGTATTGAGAGGAGGGGGGGGGGGGGCAGGGGGCCTCACCACCTATTATCACTTACAGCAACTTCTGGGGATTGTCTGTGTAATACCCTGATCGCGCACGCGGTGAGGCGCGGCTATTTGTTTCGCTGGGAGCTTCACACGTTATGGCTTTTACTATTGCGCACAGTTCCGGATCACCACTGAAATCGATTTCTCTTATTATGGGCAGTTTTCTTCATACAGCGGGTTGGTGAATGTCGGTAGCTTCATGCCATCAAAGTCGCCACACTGTCGAATGCGGCAATGCTTTCTGTAGATATGCTATTACGGACCCCTTCCTGGCTTTTGCTAGCCCTGATAGCTGTCTCCAAACGCCCCCATTCTCTGGCTACACGCCGGAAACGGAGCTATGCTGAGACTTCATGCTTGTTTTTTCATGTTGTTTTGCACCGTATCTTTGCATGCATAAGCGTAGACTATAGAGCACACCAGTGACGTAATCCGATGCATCGGGGAATGCTGGATCTCCTCCTCACTCTCCTTCCCGGACGCAGTGGTCCTGCCCGCCCCCTCACTCAGTCATGGGCGCTGTCCGAGCGTGGGAACTGTGACGTCATTACGTGTCGCGCAGAGGCGCAGTCCTAGTGGCCTGGTTACCAGTGGCACGGTCCGGCGCCCCCGTGGCCGGCGTACAAGTGGCGGGGCCCTCCCAGACGCCGCCGATCCTCTGGCTTTTGCAGCTGGAAAATCGATACTGCGTGCACCGTTGGCGTCGTGGATCGGGAGATAGGCTTGCCCGATGGTAGATAAGAGCTTTAGGTAATCATCGGACCAAAACGTAAATTTATGGTTATCAATTAATTAATTAAACAATGAAATATTATCTTGAGCATATTTCAACAACCTCCGTTAACAAGTTTTGAAGCCATCCTGATCAGAAAAAGAACGCCTGATTTAAACAGGCCAGGTCATACATCAATTCAACAGCGGCGGTTTTTGAGGAACATTGCAGGGAGATCTACGGACTGAGCGGGCGGGTGGGAACCGACGTCGTCAGGGAGCGCGCGCGGCGGCTGGCGTTGTTGCATCAGCGTGGCTATACATCATACATGTATGCTCAATACACATAAAAATGTACACCATTGTACTCACGAGTTGAACGGGGGATATGCCTGAGCAAAGTATGTAGGAAGCACTCATATTCTTGAGCGAAGATGTCATTTAGGATGTTGATGCCTTGACAGTGCGCTGTTCTATCAGCAGATTCATAAGTGCGTCTCAGCTCACACGACAAACCATTCGACCTTTTCTGTACGCCTGATTGCGCTGCACGTGGCCCGCCGTTCAGGGCCAGTGGCACAGCCGGCGGCGACACGCCTGAGGGCAGCCGAATCAGGGTTTGGGTCCGCCAGACATGAGATCCCGGACTGCCCACCGCGTGGAACCAGCTAGCGCCTAGGCGTGAGAGTCGTTCCGGTGCTGCGTCACTCCCACGCCAGCTGGCGTCCGTCCCGAAGCGGCGACCAAGTCGTACGCGGCGCTCGTGTTCCTGGGCACGACTTCCCTGACGATCGGCTCTGCTGACCTCGCGCTGTGGCTGATGTAGAGGACAGTCCATACGTCCGCTCGCTCTCCGAGTGCTCCGACCTTCGTCATAAAGCCCAGTTTTCACAGGCTACCTTTCGTGTCGCCGCGGAGGCCGCCGGCGCGCCGACAGCCGCCCGGCATACCTCTGCGATTGTTTACGTCACACGTTTGGCTGGCTTACGTCACACAAGCTGGTTGCCATAGCTACGACTTGTCGCAGAACCACTCAGCCGGGGAGAAGAGGGGGAGGGAAGGAAGGACACCGTGGCCGGCGGTGGGATGGTGAGGGGGGGGGGGGGGGCGAATGTGGATGCTGCTCAAAATATGCTGCATATAAGAAGATCAATGGTTTGATGAAATATTTGCGTTGCTAAGACGCAGGTTCGCAACCATCCCAACTTCAACGGCGTACTTCCGTGGTATCATCCCGAAACGAAATCAGGTCTTGGGGGGGGGGAGACGTTTGGTTGACTGACCTCAACCTGAGCCAGTAACGCTGCCAGGGAGCTTCTGGGACCATACCCACTGGACGTGGAACAAGCCCCTGGGTGGCGAAAGACTCAGTTTTCTGTTTGTTTGTTTGTAGGGCGTCACGGATGCTGTGTGACCTTGAATTAGTCTGCATGGAACGATCTGCACATATTCGCGGATGTCTCGCTCAGAAACTACACTCGGTTAGGTCTTAATAAGGATCTGTGAACTGCACTTAACACTCTTTCGCCATGGCTATTTCAGCTCAAAGCCCCCCACAAATGCGAAATACTTCCTTGAAGCTAGCATTCATTCACCCACATGTTAATGCATTCATAAATATGATAAGGGGTGGACACATGTACTGGGAAACACTATGTAAATACATCACTGAGGTAGACGCTTGCTATTTGCCGAGACGGATGAACATATCTGCTCAGCCCGAAATTTTGGGAGGCCCAAATTTTCTATGCAACCATGGCTCACATACTAATCCAACGACCGACACGACCGCCCGACGCTCCACGCAACAGTCCGGCATCAGTACTCGCCTAGGCGACCGCCTGGCTCTTCGCTCCTCGCGTGCCAAGGACTGGGGCCACGCGAAACATAGGTTAAAGGTTGGAGCAACAACTATGTACTAACCCAGTCACTACGAACTCAAAGGCTTCCCACTCCCAATTCTCGCCACAGCCCCCTCGCAGCACGTTCAGCTTGGGCTCGTGAATACAATGCGGCTATATCACCATTTGCGCAATTCGACCACGAAACATATCGATAAGGCTGGGCGCGTATCCATCAGGCTGGCCGCGCATCGGGCGTGCAACGACCACGTCACGCCAGATCGGAGACACACGCAGACAGGTTTGTCATCTTGGCAAAGTCGCGCTCATCCTGCCAGCTTGCCATGGCAGCCCTTTGCCGAGCGACGGCCGCCCGCCGGTTTGCAACGTCATCGCTCCTACAGAGGGCGGCGCCCAGCGACGAAGCCTCTGTGCCAGGTGACGGCTTCCCACCGGCAGGAGGAGGCCGCACGTCGGAGACCAGCGGCGGCGCTTCCAGACCGGACGACGGCAGGAGCGGCACTCACACGCCGGGCGACGGCCGCCGGCCAGCGTCCAACAGCTTCACTCCCGCGCTGGGCTGCCAGCACCGGGCATCAGGTGCTGGCAGCGAAGACGTTCCTCTGTCCGGTAACCGCCACCCATGGAGGAAGCCGCCCGTCGGCGAGCAGCGGCGGTGTTTCCAGACAAGACGACGACAGCGGCCGGCGCCTAACAGCGGTGCTCCTGCAACCCAGTGGAGGAACGGCTGTTATTTTCCGGTTCAGGTTTCTTCTTGCACTAATGATATCAGTGAAACGTCATATCGGCACACTGTGTCAACATATCTTAGAGCTGGGCCCTCTTCACCATCCCAGGCCTGCTTCCGGACCCCCTAACCCCTCCCCCTATGTCTTTGACCCGGCCGCGGCCCAAGCCCCAGCTGAGGTTGGGGCTGTGACTGGGGCTCACGCTGATGTCCATGGAACTTTGCAAATTTGCTGTTCTCACTTGCACCCTCAGAACAAAGAAAATTTATGCAAATATTTATAAAGGAGCAGCTTTTAATATCTGGCCTTGTGGGAAAAATAATTGGTTGTTCCTAAAAACTGCCATAGTTTTGACTTGATATAATTGCTGAATGTGCTCGGAATCATTACTCACTTCATCCTGGCATAGCAGCAGGGAAGAATTTTAATGTGAACCACCATTACCACAAATACAAAAAACCCACCTGCGGACAGACCATTTTATACTTCAGACAGGGATACTGCAGTCCCAAGCCCTAAAACACAGATAAATTTCCCATTCTGCACTCCTATCACTGCAACTTTGTTTTTACTTCATATGTTATGTATGTCTGAAATATGAAAATTTATTAAGATCGCGTATTGATGAGCGCTGTTTGGCACTTCTACAGTGGATCTAACAGCGGAGTGTATGAAGAAAACGAGCAGATGAAAGTCAAACGTCAATTTTTGAAGTCAGTCTCGAGGATACAATGACGTGTTCAAGCGTGGGGGGGGGGGGGGGGGGGTGCTGAGTCCCTAAACTGAAACTCAGCCTTTTTGCTTTCACCGGGTCCAGCAACCTTAGCATGTGATAAGCATGCGAAGTTCTAAGACGTATGAACAGCACATTAGACATAAATAACTCCAATACCATGTTCAGATATTTTCAACTTCTATTTCCCATATCCAAGGATACCTTTCTTTGGGGGGTGTTCTGTGGTGGGTTGCGAGCGCTGCGCTGCTGCCAGGCCGCCGCTGGATGTTTGTGCGCCGCCGGCTGCCGCTGTCATGCCTCCCCGCAAGAGCGAATTCATAATGAGAAGCTCATTGGTCAGCACACGAGCCAGATGGTGCAAGCGTACGACTCGGCACATTGTGACCCAGGTACACCCGACGGCAGCACACACTCGCGTAAGCCATAGAGCTAGGATGAAGCGGGTGTCCGGGGTATTGGTGGGGCGGTAAGTCCGGTTAAGCCCATGAACGGCTGTCGCCCCTTTCATGGCTGTGCGCCCATAAACACGGTACAACACCTCCATCTTTTTAGCTGACGATAATATTCAAATGGGGCAAAAACTGGTCTAGACGCATTGATGATGCGTCCAAATTGGCTGGAATCCCACGCAATCGGCGAATTACCTTGGCAGGGACCTGTTAGATGAGAACCCTGGGAGCCCCATCGGTATTAATTTAATCCACACAGACTTCATGCATTCGGCGCCCCACCACACTCATTCCAAGCCTACACATCCGCTGGCGCCCACGTCACCCCACTAATTCTTGGCTCACACAGTGATGAAACCCCCCCCCCCCCTCCTATATCCAACGCTTTAGCACTATAATTGGCCCGTCTGCGCGAGTCCTCTTTAAGCTAATTTAAATTTTAGTTATTACATTTCAAGCATCCAATAAATCCACGCTTAAGCCCTTTTTAAAACATGTCAGGCATCAGGTTAATTTATCAGGGGGGACCGACCCAGCTACTGAACCGACATCAGGCGTCCGAAGCTGGACAACAACTCATTCTCTCGCCTGACCTCCAGGGTGGTGGCTTCCTCTTCAGAAGACACTGCTCGCGCTCCATCCATGGTGGGAGGCCCACCATGTCTTGGACCACGCCCACAGCTCGCAGCTTTCCGCAGCCGCGCACGCGCCTTAGGCAGCACATCGTCCAGCACGGAAACGTCGCCTCCGAAGTTTCTGCGAGCTCGCCTCCCGCCTGCCAGAGTGAGCTTTGTAAGACACCGCCCTACGGCGCGTCCCTCAGTGACCTGGAGGTAGACAGCGTGCCAGATGGGACGGTGGAGCCCCTCGGTAGCCAGCGAGCACCCGGCATGACCTTGTTCACGCCTTACGGTCTCCTCGACCAGCGCGCTCTGGGGACTCAGTCTGACTGGACTGTCCGGCGGCTCGGCCCCCTGTCGCCCTCCCTGCGAGCGTCGATGGCGGGATCTGTATCTGCCACCAACAATCCGCGATCAAGAACTTTAAGGCCCGGCGTACACCATGTCGGAAGAGAACAGGCTGTGTCTCATTCTCTTCCAAGGACATTGTACACCAACGGATAGACCCAGCCACCGCCGCGCATAATCTGGCATCCCCGGCGGCTCCCACTGGTCCTTGGTCATACCGAGACCAATGCCTTTCATGCCGTCACATCCGAGGTCAAGTGAGAGATAACGAAACGAGGCGACCGTCTCCCAGACAGAAAAACAGCGAAAACCGCGCCTTCAAGTCGCGCTACCCACAAACGTTCATCTGCCTAAGAGCAGGATTGCGGTCGCCTGGACTCCTCAATCCTGGCCATAGCCGAGCCGTACTGCTCGGGCGCGTTCCGCGTCTGCTTCCGAGCGCTACCCCGCCTCGCGAGTGACATCCCCCGTTCTCGCGGAGTCGTGGACGGTCCCTTGAGACGTAGCGAATTCGGTGTATCTCGCCGTGATGCCACAGCACCCACGGAAGACGATCTCCCTTCGACCGCCGGCTAAAAACCAGGAGATCCCGTCTGCTTCGGAAAGTTCGCCGCCGCACTACCCCGCACCAAACCTCCGGTGTCCGTAGCGAATCCCATCTTGACGAGAGGGGCCCTTGCCAACCGAGCATGGCACCGTGTGCAGATCAGTCAGTGAATCGAGCCGGACCAAGTCATACAAAAAACGAACAAACAAAAAACAGGGCGAAGGGGAAGCACACGCGTTCGTTAAAAGAACCCGTGCGCATGCGCTGGACGGGCCTCAGTGAGGGTCCAGCCGCCCCGACCTATCGAGAAAAATTCGGGGAACCAAGAAAGACAAGTCGTCCAACTAACCAACAGAATAGCGCCATGGCCAAAAGGAGACGTTCAGGAATATGCAGGTGTGGCCCGTACGCCGCGCGAGGCTGTGACACGGGACCGGCAAGGGCCACGACGAGCCGCTGCGCTTCCACGTGGCCGCCTCCAACGACAAAATCAAGATAGCCTCGGCGCGGGCTAACGAGCGAGCCATCGCGCCCAAGTGCGGGTCAACGGCCTCGCACCGTGCCTTCCCGCGCCGGGCGCGAATGCCTCTTCATCGCCTGACCAAATCACCTCCGGCCTCGCTTCCGCCTTCAACCCTTAACACACAGATCGTCACCTACATTTACAACAAATTAAACACCAACGCAGATATTTACCCGGTTTGACGCACCAGTTCCCTGGTTCACGGGGGCCCACCGCCGAGCCGCGTGAGGCATCGCCCTCCCCTTAATTATGGGAGGGATCCAATAACAGTGCCAGGCCGGGGGGTCGCCTAGCCAGTGCCCCCCGCCCTTTTCTCGACCACACGAGAGGGAACAGGAGACCATGGCCCACGCCCGCCCGGTGGGGACGGGTCAAGAGACACGTTTGGAGTGCCACCAGTCCATAGCTCGGTAAGGATGGCGGCAACAGCCTGCGGACTCACACGTGCATGTTGTCGCCGGTATTCCGTTGTCCGCGGGGCCTGAAGTCACTGCCAGGTAATGAGAGTAGTGGCTGTCTCGTCCTCGAGGTACGACCCTCGGCTCCTAATGCACTCTCCCCTGTCTGCCTCGAAGACCTCCCCCTCCCCCCCCCCCCTCCTCAGCTTTTCCCTCGGGGTTTCCTCTCAACTGACTCCCTTTGATAAACTTTTTTGGAAGGCTTTGTCCAACTGGGTCGGCACGCCCTCATTTTTTCTCGGTCCAATAGTATTACCGTAAAGCCCCCTCCTTCCGACTGTGTTGCCGGGCGGGCCTATCCCTTCCTTCCAGAGGTATGCCCCCAACGTGCCCCTGGACCAGATCTCGGGCTTGGCGTCGCCGTCGACGGTGCAGGGTCCGCCCGCCCGCTCCTGCCTTACCTCGACCGATCCTGTGGGTCCCCTTCTGATCCGTTCTCACGTGGCGTGGTACTTCTGATGTCAGCCAGAGTGACGACGGTGACGGCTCGGCGGGGTCCTTGGGGCGGAGCAGCAACGGCTTCTAACCATGTCAGAGATCAGAGCATACCAAAACATGTCAGAGAAGATCCCCGCCCGCATGTTGTTTCGCCGGTGACCTGGCTTTTCGCGTCCATTAGTCCAGATGAGATGGCCCATTTCGGAAGAAGGGCCGATCCGCATCCATCTCTGGGCTAATGGTTGTGTTTGGCGCGGCGGGAGGAGCTGCGGACCATGGCCGGCTTTCCTGCTGCTCCACGCCCCGCCGGAAAGCCCTACCGAGCACGAGCGGATGGTGCGGAAAATGACACGTTGCACATTGTATGCCTGCACTTTAAAGGGGGTGTTTCACATTTGCATGGGGTTTTGCACTAAAATAGCCGTCTTGAAGATTATTCGGTACAGTTCGCATACGTGCCGTTGTTAAGACCTAAACGCTTCCTGTTTTTGTGATGCACGCCCGCGAAGATGACCAAAGTGTTTCGGTGAGGCTGTTTCAAGGTGAACCGCTCAGTCATGACGCCATAATAACGTCACGCAAATCCGGCCAGGCCGACGCCGTAATCACGCCTCCTCTTATGCCACTAGCCGTGTGGCAATCAAGGCCAATGCAAACATTATGTCGAGATATTCATATCTGGTCTTCGTGCGTAAGAGTTCCAGCTATAACAGGCGTCAATTGCTTCTCAATCAATACTGTATACGGTGCGATGATGTAATCAAACAATGACATCCTGAGGACCATATTTGCTTAAAGAAGAAATGCATTGTCTAGAGCATCCTTTTCCACATACAGATATGCCAATAACTTAAAGTGAGCTTATTTCAGCGTATCTGATGTTTGTTTCAATAGGAAGGCGCGCAGCCGCCCGGCGCCGACCGCGCACGGCCTGATAGAGCCCCGGCGCCGATAAAGCACGGCCTGATGGAGCCCCGGCGCCGATCAAGCACGCCCTGATGGAGCCCCGGCGCCGATCAAGCACGGCCTGATGGAGCCCCGGCGCCGATCAAGCACGGCCTGATGGAGCCCCGGCGCCGATCACGTACGGCCTGATGGAGCCGGTGAGATCCACGGTCGCCCGTTACCTCCGCGTAATGGCACCGGCAGTTGTCTGTTGTTCAGGACGATGTGCGTTGCGTTGCGTGTTGTGGCTCTCCTCCTGACAGGCCTTGAGTTCCCAGGAAGCCGCCCGGGCTACCGCGCCGAGCCCTTCAGTGTCGGCAACCTTTGGGAATGTAACATTATCAAACGTGACATGTGGTAAACGTTGCAACGAAAAGGGCATTCTGCTAAGCATTGGGCTTATTTCGGAGGGTTTCATCACGGTGAAAAACAGTTCATTAATCGAATACACAGTACTGGAAAAGGTCAGAAAACAAAAACATATCTCCGAAAAAGTCCAAAGGGCTTATGTCAAACGGTCATAACTCCGAAGAGATAAAAGTCAGTTGAAAAAAAGGAAGAAAGGCAATGAGTCTAACATAAAGGGAATGTCAAATGAGTAAAATTCGAAAGAAAGAAAAATCTATGAAGATTTAACTAAGCAGAACAACAAAAGGTATAAAGTCGAAGGGGTTGTGGGTTCCTGAATAAAAATGACTTTAATTACCCTCCACTGATCGCGCAGCCCTTTCCGAACCAAATCCGTGGCGCTCAGTGCCATGTTTATCCCTATTCTTTACACGTTAGACCCCTCTACGCTTCGGCAAGGGACGCTATTGCAGGCCACTCAAGACAAAAGGGCTCTATGCCCTCATCTGTCTTGTAATGAGTCAGGGGCGGCGCATCATAGGGGTGGGAGGTGTCTGCCTTTTCGTCTACTGGCAGTGGGTAGCAAGAGTATATTTCCCCTCATTGAGGAGGCCCGGTTTAACTAAGCAGAAGGTTTCGCAGGTACCCAAATATTACTCGAATCTAAACACCCATGCCCGAGCTAGTAGGTCAATAATCGGATTCAGGAGGCCCTTTTGCATCGATAGACCTTTGTTCGGATCAAGAGACCTCCTTTTTGAATGGAGTATACCCTGTTTTGAACCACGCGTCCCTGTTTTGTGTCAAGGGGCTTTGCGGATTTGGCATGCCCTACGTGAATCAGGAGGCCTTGTCCTGGAACAGAGTTTCCCTTCACGTGTTTGGAGGTCCCTGCTCCAGATCAGTGGGCCCTGGGTGGACTACGCCATCATAGAACGTCACTGGTATGAATTGCAGGCGGGGCAGGTCGTTTCTGACCTCTGCAGCGATGTACATGTTTGCTCCACTCCCCAAGAACCTAAGCAGTTAGACGCAGCCACCCCACTTAGACAAAATTAAGGCCTCCGATGACAGAACAAAGAAGCCACGCAACTAAGCCCAGCGCAATCTGCCATAGCTGTCAAACATCTGGCTGCTCAGCAACTATTGACGGTAAACTATATCCCACGCCCCTATGATGCGGGGCAGCACGCATAGACTCCAGCGCACAGCCAATATTTTGGTAAAGAGGGGGAAGAGGGGGGGGGGGGGGCAGCGCGGTGATTCCGCATCAAGTCACTTTTCATCCTTCTTTCGTAAGCTATCTAATGTGAAAAACGAAAAAAATCCAGGCGTAAGGCTGGCCAGCCGCTTGCTGCACATAGGCTCCACCTGCATGGGCTCCATCCTCGGAGTTGGCGCGACAGCATCATGTTGTGCATATAATACGCTAACTGCTAGACTTCATCAACCAGCGGACGTGCCTAGGTCAGCTTAAATCAAACTACGGTTCCACTTAAGCTCCTCAAACTAGCTGTCCACATGGTGCGCATTTAGTACACGAAGCGCTAGATTCCCTCTGCCTGTGGACATGCCGCCAGCCGAGGGTCGAGCTACGCCCTGGTCATTCATTGACTCAAGAGAACATTTTGTAGATTATAAAAAATGCAACATTTAAGTGCAATTCACTGCTATGTCTACATCCAGCACGTCCCTGGTCACTGATCAATGCATCAAGTCAAAGTGCAGTGAAGTGCGTAGCTGAGTCTTATTACATAGATGAAGAGATATGTTGGTAAACTTATGCTCGTAATGACGAAACGCCATTGGCTCAGTAAGTGACGCTCACAATATATATATAATATATATATATATATATATATATATATAGCTTTTGCCGCGTTCATTTTGATATCATCAGCATACGGTTACCAATACATTTTTTAAAACAGGTCAAGCTTTAATTAGATAGGTAGCTGTTCTTTAAAAAAAATCTGCCTTTATAGAGTTGCTTTAAACCTGCTATGTTGGTGGGTCATGTGTGCCATCGATTACCGCCATTAATGAACCCAAAACGGCCCTATAAACTACAAAGGCGGACAATATTGTGTTGCGTGCTTTTCTTTGCTTAATCGGCTATAACTGAAAAGTCTATTAAAACTGGCTTGATCGTTTACCAAGCATATGCGAACATGGCCTGCAGTCGTTTTGAACAGTAGATACCCTACTACGCAGCGACGTCAGTTCACCTCACCATAACCTCTGCTCGCTCATAAGACACTTTGTGGTTTCGTTCATTGTGTTCCTGGACTTAATATGTAACTTGGAGAGATATTTAAGGTGCATAAGAGGCTGCCTGCAAAACAAAAAAAATGTCAGCGGCTATCATCACTCGTTTATGTACTCCAGCCAATGGCAGGGCGAGACGAAACAAGGCTGGTGTAGAATATGGTGTACAAGCATCCATGGTGCTTGGAGCGTGGGAGCTAGATGAGTAACATGCTGATGCGCCTGAGGCACATCTACACGTTGTATCTAGCTGCCACGGCTGTTAACTTTTTTGAAGCCTTCCCATGAGGCTTTCAGCGATGGAGGACTGACCTTTCATCTGCGCGTTAGCAGTGACCGTGGCGAAGGGAACTGCAGTCCTCCAGAATAACCGGCAGCGGCTCAGCTTCATATTTGCTTTAACAGTTTTCAGTGACGCTTGTCAGTCAGGTTCCACACTCTCTGCAAATTGCAAACACGCAGGAGAAGTGTTAAACGACTGACATATGCTATTGACAGCTGTATCATTGCACGTAACTCTTCTACGCATCTGTTCGGGTTTTCATGTGGGTGCTTTCTAACGCTACTTGTTGTCAAGGAGCTGTTTAACGACAAATCTGTAACTCCTCACAATTTGACGCAGGCGCAGGAACGTCGTTTGTTATGTTCACGGGCGTCTCATTTGGCAGCAGACTGTGGGTGGATATGCCGTTCAAATATGACTGCTCGACTTTAAGCGTGTCTGGCAGACTACACGCTCACTCTGCCCGCGCGGACGAAAAGCCGCATCTCTCACTTCTCATACAGACTTTGTGTTCTGCCGGTTGTCAGTCTTCAGCACGAGCGTGAGCCCCGTCCCGGTTTTCGACCCCTCATTAACATCCATTGCGAGCTCGTCTTAACAACTGCTGGATCTTGTCTGGCAGTTCGGCTCCCATTTCTTCTCATGGCGAACGGTGCAACGTTTCGCAATGGAACTTGCTGCTGGTTAGAAAGTGAAAAAAAAAACAGTTTGAGAATGACAAGAGAATGTGTGAAAGGACACGGAGGATTGGAAGGGCTCAGAGTGAGAGGCGGAAAGACATTGAAGCAAGTCATGGTGTAGGTTAAAAGGGAGACACAGAAAGACGAAAATAAACAAATAAATAGATATTTGAAGAGGAAGACACACAACTCGCAGCTAAGTGTAAGGACACAAAGAGACGAGGATGAAAGCAAAGGATAATAAGCAATCCTGGGCAACGCACCGTTCCTGTTGGTTTGAAATAGCATTGGTCGAGAAAGCATGCGCATATCTTTTCAGCAGTGTCAGTTCATGTGACTCTCATCGCATGCAAGTGACAGCCAGAAGCCAAGACAAAGGAAATAAATGCATTGCACACTTTTATTGCATGGTTGGCAATACGATAACCCTCGCAGTAGCACACGATAAACATGCTTGAGGTAACGAAAGCGGATGATATCAACATACGTAAAGCAATATGGCCAGCTAGGGAAATGAAGACGTAGATGCAGAAATCACACCATCATTCGCCCAACTGTGTAGGGGGAGTCCGACAGTTGGTAGAAACGTAACATGATTGGGAGCCAACGGATGATGCTGTTAAGCAGCAACCGCCTTTCATATTGCGCCAACGTCAGTAGAGCACCAAGCTCGTATTTGATATGCGAACCAAGCGCGACAGATGCGGCGGACGCGCGACAGATAGGGCAGACCCGCGCACTGAGTGACTGAGCAGCACGAGGAACAAGCGCGTTACAACGTCGATAAGATTTCAGCTTCGAGAGCGGAAATAGTTCAGTTGGAAACGATCGAGAATGAACGGCATGCGGGGGTGGGTCAGGACTGATGGACTCCTCGCGCTTGGACAACGATGAAAAGCTGCGCAAATGTGCACGTAAGTGATAGTTGTTTGCGAGACAAGACAGGTTAAGTCGAGCGCATCACAGTATGTCAGAAGAATAGATCAATTTATGGGAAAATAAAATGTAGAATGTGGAAAAGTGTATGCAAGATCACATCAGCACACCAATCATGCGGCATAGACTTTGTCGTTGAAATGATGTGGTAGAGAAATGTCGCACGAATAACGAAGACAAGGAAATAAAAATATTTGGTGCGACAATGAACTGACCTTAACGGAAGTTTGGCTGCATATTCGCAGCGTTTTAACGTTGGAACAAAACGAGAGAGCGTGTTCCTAGCAATTTAAGATCAAAACCGAGAAAGCAAATGCCATCTTCCTGCCTCAAATTGAAACGAACCTATCACGATGTCGCAATATGGTTCTCGAAAACGAAAAGGCTATAAATGAAAACATAAACAGCGCAGTACATCATATTGCCATACCCCAGAAACGTCAAACGTCAGTAACAACCTGGCGAAGAGGCGAACAACAGCTCATTAGCACAACAGCGGCTTTATCAACAGGCAACATGTCGCAAATTCAACAGCAAAGAATCCAACAACAACATCGGTTCAACAATCATCACAGCAGCGTTTAGCACGCATGCGGCCTACGTGGGCAGTGGCTCCCGGGCGCACGCGGGTGGATATCAGGCTCGGATCGGGGCGCGCTTATTCCTCGGCCCAGGAGTCCTCGAAGTCCTTCTGCAGCTGGTCCATCCAGACCGAGTGGTTGATCTCCCAGTCGTCGTTGTCGAGACCACGGCCCGAGTTGTTGAGCTGGGTGAACAGGAAGGCGAGCAGAGCGCCGAGCGCCAGGGCGGCCAGCAGACCCAGGCTGACCAGGAACAGCGGCCCCAGGACTGCGGGCACAGCGGCGCCGCGCGTCACCGGCCGCGTTCCCTGAGCGGGGGCGGCGACGGAGTGCGGCAGTTGGCGGGTGGTCTCCCAACGGTTTCCGATAGATGGTGTCGCAATGCAATTTTTGAAAGTTTTGCATGTGCTTGCAAATAGCAATGTCATTCAATTGCTGTGGTTGATCGTTGAGAACACCAGCAAACCTAACCGGACCACAGTGAACCTGATCGGACCACAGTGGACCTGACCGGACCACAGCAGACCTGACCGGACCGCGGTGGACCCGACAGAACTCCTTTTGACCGACCCACTGTTGCGCCCCGACACTTCTGGCGACATATGTATGCCTCGTCAGCACGAGTCGAGCGGCTGCCGGCGCCGGACCAGCGGCGTCCGAGGGGCCTACTCACTGTCAAACTTGCCGCCGCCCTGCTCCTGCGGCTGGTAGCCGTAGGAGCTGCCGCCCGAGTAGCCCGTGCTGTCGTACCCTCCGGAGGCGCGGCTGACGATGCTGTCGGCGGCGGCGGACAGTGAGGGGCGCGGTCAGCTCATGACCAGCCGGACAAGCCCGGCCGCGGCACAGCCGGTGGAACGACACTTGTGAAAATTGCCGGTGGCAAAGACTGGAAAGCATAGTACAGATTGGGCCATTATGTTTCTAACCAATGGGTACATCTACTATAAACAAAAAGGAGGATGACCGGAGCTTTTCCAAGCGCGTGGATTTGTGTCCAATTTCGGCCCAGACACCAGACGACGTGGACAAGTGCCCAATCAATCGTCGAGCCATAGAAACCGGTTCGCCGACGGCCGGCGCGGTGGCGCGTGACGGACAGGGCCGTCGCTGCCGTCGCTGCCGCCGCTGCCGCCGCGCTCACCTCTGCAGCCAGCCGAACGGCGACTTGCGCCGACGAACCGGCTGGTTCTGGTAGTTGTAGTAGTTGTTGTAGTACGTTTCGTCATCGTTCAGAGCGTACTCCGTATCCCGTTTCTGCAGGGTGCCTGCGGACGGAGCGGTGGTGATTAAAGCGGCGACCCCGTTTCGCCGCCGCACGTCGGACGCATAAACATCTGCCTCGATCTCGGAGTGGGCGTCGCTCCTGGCGTCATCGGACGCCGCCGCCGCCGCGTGGATGGCTACAGATCAGCCGGCAGGGAAAGTGCGCCGAGCGCGGCGAGATGCGACGCGCCGCGCCCGAGATTTATTAAACAAATTATTTAGAGACGCCCGCCGCGCTCCGAATCGATCATTTCTGCCACGCGGCGGTTTTCGCTGACAGACGACAGGCACGCGATTTCGGTACGGCGGCAACGGCAGCCGACTCTGGAGTCGTGCCAGCAGGGCTGGGACGATGATTGTGCTGTCAGTATCACGGCGTTGCAGATGGAAATGTTTGCTCGTGTCGAACACTTTGCAAGACGGCACCGCCGCCGAAACCAATTAAAGGTTGCCGGCTTTGGGTCGGCATAAAACTGCGCTGGTCAAGCGGCATCCCAGCGCTGGTCAGTGGTTACCCCCAGCATGGTCACGTACGTGTGCCACGACCCTGTGCCACGTGTGACCGCAGGCCCGGAGCGGTGCCCTCCCCCATCGGCGGCGTCGGCACTGGGCCGTCACCCGTCGGTCCCACGCCCCAATCAACAGGCGTCCGGGAAACGGGAGGGGGGGGGGGAGGGCGAGATCCTCTCATAACCGGGTCAGTGGGCATACCGGCCAGCAGCCATCGGCGTGGCGGCAGCTGCAAGGCGCCTCGAGGCTGGTCCGCGGGCGCAGCCGCCTCCAGCTGACCCAGTTTTCTGACCAGACCGGGTGGAACGAAGCGGCACTCCGCGCCCATTAGCGATGACAATCAAGCTGATCTCCATTTACTTTAAAGTGTCAAGTGGGAGCATGTCAAGCCTGGAGCGGTGGCGGCCCCGGGGGCTGGTGTGAGCGTTGGTCAAGTGGGGAGCCTGTCCAGCCTAGGGGGGTGGTGGCCACCGGGGGCTGGTGTGAGCACTGGTCAAGTGGGGAGTCTGTCCAGCCTAGGGGGTAGCGGCCCCCGGGGCTGGTGTGAGCACTGGTCAAGTGGGGAGTCTGTCCAGCCTAGAGCGGTGGCGGCTGGGGGCTGGCGTGAGCACTGGTCACAGTGCCCCGAGCGGAACACGACGCACCTGTGGCAACGGCAGCCACGCAGCAGCAGACAAAGGCGATCAGCACGCTCTTGTTCATGTTGACTTTCTGCAAAAAAAAAACAGCACATGATTAAACTAGCATCAGGTCGCCAACGTTGTCACCAACGCAGACCAAGCACCTCATGGCCCAGGGCCAAATCGGTGTGGCGGTTGGCAGAAATGGGCCCCATCCCGGTGCCCAAGTGTACAGGAGTAATCTGAAATTATTGTTCACACAGATTCGGCCCAGCGGACGCCTAACACTTGATTCAATAAATTAGGAGTTGCAGCATGTCTTCGTGATTCGTTCCTTATGTCGCCTTTTATTAGGAGTTGATGCTTTGCGCCCGCTGATTCGAGGAAGTTTGGGCCTGATGAGGGCCAAATGCTAGGGCCTAAAACAAAGCGCAAAGTTCAGTGTTTCAAATATTTGCGACTTATCGGGCGGAAAACCTGCTTTTGCAATCAGGCATGACTTAAGCTGTGAAAGATCATCTGCGAAAACCCGAGCTGAGAAAAGTCAAAACCACCACACCGCAGCGCCTCGTTTGTGATTATAAGACCGTGTCAGGGCTTTGAAGCGGAACTTTATGCAAACATTGCAAATGCCAACTTATGCCTAGCCACATCTTTGAAGTATTCATTTGACGGCCGCGATAGCTGCGAAATCAGTCGGTAAACAGAAGCCAGGTAACACAGCACGCGGGAGGCATGCTAGCGGAAGCGCGCTCCATCCCTGAGGCTAACGCAATATGCGTGTCAAACAGGCCACCATCCGTCTGAATTGTTGGGCCGCTCCCACGTGCCGTTTCATCCGATTACGATGAGGGGCATGAGCGCAAGTCCCGTGTGCCTGAGATGAAAAAATGCCGTTCGGTAAAAACAGGCGGCGGAATCCCGGCACGCCCCTCCCCGCGTGGCGCCGCCGGCACCGGGCTCTCCCACCCTTCACGCGTTTCACCGTCCTTTCTCCTTGGCCAGCCGGCGAGCGGAAAGCGCGTGCCGGTGAAACGCGGCCCACTTCGGGTCTGCGTGCCCCGGCCTAACGCGGCTCCGATGTGATTAGCCGGGACCACGTGGCGAGGGCCAGTGCTCGCTGTCCGAAGCGGCGGACCAGCCGGGCGCGAGAAACGCTCCGCTGCTGCGAAATGTCATGGGCCAAACAGTGAAAGCGGGAGGACGGGTGACATGGCGGACCGGCTCGGACCGGCAGCGGTTTCAGCAGCCGTTGTCATCGACAGCAAAATGCTGGCAAGCTCATGCTTTCCACACGTCCGTAGACGGCGGATCGTCCAGCACGTGGTGGTTGAAGACGTTCTCACGCGGCTTTCGAAGTCTGCACACATTTCCCAGAGCTTGGACTTTCAAACAACGGAGGAATGCCTCCGTTCTGAATCTGCACACCGTAAATTTTCATAAGTAAGCATGAGTTTTAACTCAAATGCTTCTGCAATAGCGCAAACCTTTGTCCAGCGTAATAACTCCTGTCAAAGGAAGCGAGAACCTTAAAAAGCACGGGAAACACTTATTTGAAGTTGCGTCTTTCCATGCGTAACCATTGGATTGTCGTTGAACTTCGCAAAATATATGAGACCAGAAGCGCCCTCTGGCCCGCTCCTGTTCCTAGGTTTACGCCCAGTCACACACTTCTAGGAAGGTGAGCTTTTCAAGACGACACTAGAACACAAACATGGGTGTTGCAACAGTTGTAGGTGAAGCAATCGTTTTGAACATAAGCAATTAAAACCAAAAGATCCGTCTAGAAGGCAGTCCTCATCCATGTAGCAACCTTACGTAAGGGCAGCTAATGACAACAACATTATGTACACTCAGACATTAAGACCAATCATTAAATATTACAACAGGCCAACTTCAGTCGAGAACAGTCGGCTTATCACTGGGTATAACTGCTCAGCGTGAGTTCTGGCTAGCTTTGGTCACTGGGAGACCAAGTCACGCGGGTAAATATGTCCGCCGGGTTTTTAATATTTTTTTTCGGTGACTGCACGAACATTTAAGCGTCAAGCGCATGCCCACATCTTCTTCTTCCCGATTTGGTCTCAAATTTTTGATGGGGTAGATTTCTGGGACACCCACGCTAAGGGCCAACAGGCCATCCCAACCAGTTGAAGATGGGGGGATCTCATAGGGGTGCAAATGGAGGAGTAAGCGCCCAAATATGGGCTTGAACGAAAACGAAAAGCCAACAATGCAGTGAAGTCAGAAATGATGCTGTTAGTAGAATATCACCATAGCGAACTCGCTCAGTGTCTGTTTTGCGGTCGACTTTACCAACCAGTTTCAACATTTCTGTAATACTTTACCAGGTGTGACCAGTTATTAAATGAATTTTGTATGCCATAGTAAACGATGATATGCGTCATAAGCGTTGGCCGTCGCTGTCAAATGCGGCACGCCAGGCTGGTGCCCACAAAACTGCACGACACGAGGGACTTGAGTACATCAGGCAATGACGAACTGATCCGGTCAGCTGAGCTAGGGCTGACTCTGAAGATATCCTGCATGGAGTAAGTGATGCGCTTGTGAAAACAGGCTGAAGGTCCCTGGCCGACCTGAAACCATCCGAATCATAAAATTGGGTCTTGTGTGAGGACCCATCACCCGAACAGGACTGCGATCTGGCGGTGCCAACACGAAGCTTTAGTTGACGGCTGCAACGCACCCATCGCCTTAGTCGATCCCATGAGCCCCATTCAAAGTATCTAGGTGTGCCTCACAAGAGACTTATCATCGGAGCAGGGGTGAAGTCAGTATTAGAAGGCCAAAAACCTGGCATTCGCTACGTATGTTTGATGTTATTTGTTGATCTAAAAATCCTCCTGATGCCCACCCCCTTCCAAGATCTACAGCTGCCATGTGTGGAGGTGCATTTGTTACATATTGTCCCATCTTGGCAAACTCTCCACACCGTCGAGAAGGTGTACAGTGCGCTGCAAAACCGAAATCAATTTCTGGCAGCCGCTCTGGTAAGAGCCTGGCGATCCTATGTATTGAATCTGTAGTGAGGTTTCTTCAGGACTATCGGTAAGGCAATTTTCCTACAGCTTCCTGCACCCACCAGTACACAAAGAATATTCTAAACCCATGCACCAAATAATAGCAATAATACGCTCAATGATCTTACCAACAGCATTTAAAAAATGGCCGACATGGTGAGACGAGCACACGGTTCTGAAGTTCCCAATGAGCCCCACAGATGGTCAGACCAACGATGGTGGCGCCACCACCGACGTGCCGATACATAGGTGGCGCTACATGCCCGGTGCGAACTATGCATTAAACATTAGTCCGCGGCTCGCTTTTCAAACAGATGCCTGCGCTGTTAAGACATCCCAGGTGTTTGGACAACGCTCTGGGACGAGTGATGAGTCTGAATCTGACGGATCGTTGGAGAGAAAGATCGCATTTTAATGCGAGAGCCCGCGATTGACGGAAACGAAGAAAGCGGAATTAAGTTACTCCGTGTGAATGTAATGAAGGGAGAACCGCGCTGGTATTAGTTTCAATTCATGTATCGTATTTACCTGAGTACAAGTTGCAGCTGGGAGACGAACTCACGTGAATCTAACCAGCTGCAGCAATGTTATGCGCGGTGATGTGTTATCTCATAATGATGGAATCGAGTCACTAACCAACGCATAAGCAACGATAGTTTTTTATGTCTCCAAGTGCTTACGAATGAGTTGTCTCCAACACATTAATGCCTGAGGTGGCCTCAAAGCTCCTCAAATCGAACACTGCTCCGGGTAATATGCAGAGAACTAACTTGAAAGCCTGGCGTGCACCCCGATTGGTTCAAGAGCTCTTCCATGGTGGAAATTGCTAATCTCCCTAAACACCATAGCGTCTGTGACTAAAAACATCGGGAAACACAGCAATCAATGCGATTTTGAAGCACAGCACAGCTTTGAAGTCCAAAGTCCAACATCGATGAGGGGCTGAGCATCGGATAATGACATTGTGACACTCTGTGCTCTCTGTTGTGAAGGGACGACCGATGCTCAGCTGGTCGACATTCCAAAAAAGTGCTAGGTTGGGTTAGGTTAGGTTAGGTTTTGCATTTGCCTGATTCCGCAGACCAGCAATGTCCATGATAAAGAACAAGTTTCGGGGTGGCCTGAACGTCCGTGGCTTTAGATGGCGCCACAGGCGCTCGGACGCCACGGTAGATGGCGTCTGAAGCGTCATCTGCGCCGACATGGGGGACGTTAAGCCGGAGAAATGATAGCACGTGCCGTTTGACTTCGAGTGTGCACGCGGTCGTCTTGTAGCGAGCAAGTGACGGATGAAGCTGTGCGTGATAAACAGCGCACCCGTCGCGTAATCATGGTGCCGCGCATGTCGGACTCCAGAGCAGCCTGGACGGGTACAGGCCTGATTAGCGAGACAGACGGAGGGGAGACGTGGCAGGCGACAGGCGTATATGTGCGACAGATGTGGCAGGTGAAAGGCTTACGTGTGACAGACGTGACAGGTGGCAGGTGTGCGCGTGACAGACGTGCTGCAATGCAGTCCCGCGATGACCGTGGAGAGTGGAAAATCGCCGTGCAGCAGTGAATGCAGTCCATCAGCATGTAAATACGAGGCAACGTGGTGTGCATGATCTGAAAACTCTATTGATCGCCAGTTTTCATAGCGTGTGTAAACTTATCATAGCTATTAACTCGTGCAAGTGCAGGTACCTTCGAAGCTTTTCATCTGATAGCTTCGTTCCATTGAAATGAGTGTGTTTGGGGAGACAAGAACGCCAAGCGGATTACGCAGCCAGGCTCTATTGGAGTGAAGTGAGATAAAACATGTCTTAAGTATTGTCAAAAATTTAGGCTTTAAAATATGTTTCAGAAAATGTCTCAAGGATATCGAGAATTACTCTCCCTTTAAGCAGACCTTCCCTTCCCCACCTCATTTGGACCTCCCACCATAGGGATCCTACGAATCAATGACCCGAAATCGATCTCATGGGTACAGCACAAGTGCAATCAGCTGTGAAGTAGACATAAATGCATATACCTCCTAGTGCAAGATAACTCCAAGTGTCAGTCACCGTCGAGAGTCAGAAGCAAAGCGCCGGAAAGACCAAATTTGGTGGAGCCTCACCCTCAAACTTAACCTGTTGGCCTCTGTTGAGTTAGATTGGGTGTGTTGCGGTAGCCTATAGATGCATGAAACGTCGTCCTGCAATTACAGTGTTTGAAATGGCATGCGGAATACAAAGATAAAGACATTGGTAGATAATTAGAAGTACAAAACGCAAATTTGGAAAAAGAAAAACACGAGTTTGTGAATGTATTAGCTCCTGCTATTGAACTCGAAGTCCCCATCCAGCCCACCGTCGGCTGGGTCGGCCGCAGGAGAGCCTGAGCAAGGGTCACTGCTGGTGCGGCGGCGGCGGCGGCGGCGGCAGCGGTCAGAAGCCCAACGCGGCCTCGCTGCAGTCGTGCTCGGCCGCCGGCCTGGGAGGGGGCCGTCGCCGTGTGCGCCGTGGCACGCCTCACGCTGCAGGCCAGGCGGGCTCGTGGCCTGCCGGCCGCGCGTGACACGTGCTGCCGCGAGCCGCGACTGGCGGTGCCGCGAGGAAGGTGGCGAGCGGCGGGAGAGGGGGGGGGGGGGGGGGCGCGCCTCAGACTTTGCCAAGAGGTGTGAAGAGGCATTGTCCCAGTGGCTTATTTGTGACACTGTTGATCTGTGGCAAATATCTCATTGCAATGGTTATCTGCCTTACGATCATGGTTTGCTATTTGCATTATTTCAGTGATTCCAGACAAGTCTTCATGTATTATTAATAATTACGATTGGAATGTGTGCAAAGCAATCTAACACTTACCTTTTAGAAACTAAGCCACCAAGTACACAGATAAACGACGGAAAAGGAGAGAGCGAGAGCCGCATGTGCCGCGTGCTTTGACAAAAATAGAATAAGAGCCCATTCGAGAGTCGATAAGGCGCGCGCTGCGTCACGCGGCGTTTGGGTAAATACGGAAGAGACGGCGGGTCACGACTGCGGCCGCTGGTGTGGGAAGCTCCGTTGTCCAGCAGTGACAGGCTGCTCAGACGCGTGAAGCCGAGAAACCTAGGTGATTGGACCGATGCAGTTGCCGTGAAGGCAGACGTGCTCTATTTCGGTCGTCGGGTGCCCTGGCCAGGCTGTGCGGCCAGATGATCACGCTTTTTGACAAATGTGGCACATTTTTTGCTGACGGCGCAGAATGGCCTCGCTCTCCGATGAACCGCACTCGGGTGAGGCGGGAAAAACCGAGAGAATCAGCGTGACACTGCAGAATAGGAACAAGCCAGCGGCGTACTTTAAGAATGTCCATCTCCACAGCCTCCTGCTGGAAAAAGTGCGCAAAATCAACAGCAAAGAAGCGATCAAACACCAACCCAACTTATGGCTTTTACCAATGGCCCTAAACTATACGTGGTCTGTTTGACGCCCGCGGTTCCAAACGACATTAGCCGACGGCGTGTGAAGCGATCCAAATGTGCACCGAACGAGGGGCGCAGATACACCAGCGTCCGGAATCGGCCAGAAGGGCGCAGATACACCGGCGTCCGGAGTCGGCTAGAGGGGCGCAGATACACCGGCGTCCGGAGTCGGCCAGAGGGGCGCAGATACATCGGCGTCCGGAGTTGGCCAGAGGGGCGCAGATACACCAGCGTCCGGAGTCGGTCAGAGGGGCGCAGATACACCGGCGTCCGGAGTTGGCCATAGGCACTCGCAGCCGATCTGTAGGCTTCGGCTGAGCTCGTCGGCTCCGCCCGGAGCCGGTCAGAGCCTGTTGGCTGCCGCCGAGCTCAGGTGGCTCCGGCCAGCTCAGGCGGCCCCAGCCAGCTCAGGCAGCTCCGCTTGTTCAGCCTGCTCAGGCTGGGCTGTTACACCAGATGGGGACGGCCACCAGCTGCGTTCCGTCGACTCACGTTGCCAGACTGCTCTCAGGCGGCCGAGCGTCACGACTGTGCATGGAGGCTCGTGACTGCCCGGGATCCGCCATGGGGGAGAAACCCGGGCTGTCGGCGCCGGCGCCGGGCCGGCTGGGGACGCGTCGGCGGCGCGCCAACGTGTTGAGGGAGAGAGCGCCGCGGCTGCATCGCCAATGTCATGCCGTGTGCCGCCAGTCACGGCCCGACGTGCTTCATGTACTGAGGCATGCTCGAGTTTGGCTTACTCGGCGTTAACGCAGCAGAGCCGTGTAATTGCTCGCCGCGGTATGCGTGAGTGCGGTGAAGCGTTCGTCTCTAGAGACCGAGAGCGGGGCGAGGTGCTGGGTTGCTGCTGGACGTAAAAGAAAGCGAGCGTGCGCTTGTCATTGGCCTGAATTGATTAATTCGCTAAAAGACTGGTAGCAGGCCAGCAAAATGATAATCATAAGCATTTCAGCGATACTCAAACAGCGATACTTATGCATTAACAACATTCGCATATGCACTAGCAACGAGCCCTGCCCGCCGCACCACCGCGTGGGGGAATCGACCGCATAGGTTAACTAGAACGCACTCATCACTTGAGACATGGAACACGACCTTTTACGATCGCAATTATGGCCACTGGCTCACCACTATACGGAGAAAATCCGTTGTTCCATAAATCAAAAGCTTGCAAAGATCGGCACTAAAAATTGCAAAAGAGTGTGTCCCACAGAAAGTATTACGGAGCTCAAATTGTGCTGCATCAGATTTGACCATCATGAGATCAGAGGGGCTCGGTGTCAGCTGCGTGGCTTTCACGCGGCTTACTTGCAGGAGGGGGGGGGGGGGGGGGGTAGCTAAAGCGGCGGCCTCTGCAGGGCACGGGTCATTACCGCCATCACACTCCAGCCAGGGGCCCAGCCGCCGCACTAACCACCATCACATTCCAGCCAGAGGCCCAGCCGCCACACTTTGAATGACAGTGCTCTTGGCAGGCCCCGCGCGCGCTTCTACTGTGCCGTCGCACTGCTGACGAGAACGGGAGTGCTTCCGCCGCGGCTCTGGCTATTTTCCTGCCGCACGCCTCTGGTAACTGCCGGCCAACAGGCGACGGCTCTGACACCGCTGGTGTTGGTGTGCTGGCGGTCGATGGGGGCCGGTGTGCGGGGAGCGAGCCCGCAGAGGCGCGGCGCTGTGCACCCAGCGTGACTCATCAGGCGCTGGGTAACGGCCGCCGGGCCACCGCGCCGCGCCGCCGGACTCGTGACTGAGCGGCCTCGTTCGTGACGCTGTGGCATCTGCTTGAACGGCACTCGTTGCAAGGAAGAATTCGGAGCGGCGGAGAGGGTTCAACAGACCAGCGTGGTGGTGAAGCATGTGAATTGGGCGCTTAGCGGCAGTGGTAAACTTGGCCCTATTTTGATGGTATTCTGTGTGGGAATGTTGCCACTTGGTTGCATGTCGCATGAGATTCCTTTAAACACTGGAAGCATTTTCGACTTCGTCGTTTCAGCAGAAACCGAACTGACAGGAAATAACCTTAAAGCTGGTGCAAACTTTAATCTTTATAATGTGTCGGGGTGCCATTTATCTTTCTGCAATACACTGCAAACGTTTACAATAATTGTCGCAATGCTCTTGGTATGAGAATCTGTCGGAGAGCCATGTCGATATAACGCGCATATGATGCAGGTGCGAACATGACATGAAGCCCTATGGCCTTACTCTAAACATCTCGGTGATTCAGGAAAGAAACGAAAAAGAGCACTTGCTCCTGTTTTAAACCTATTTCAGCAGACGGCCAGCAACAGACTGTAAGTTAGCGAACGGAGCTTAAGGTTATCGTCAAAATGCCGACTATGATAAGCTGGAATATTTGCAGACTGAAGGCCACAGTGCCTGCCTCAAGTGTGATGATGTACGTCGTCATATGACATATAGCATGCTCGCAAGCCATGATTAATCGACTTTGCTGAAGTGGTGTGGACTGTCTGCAATCAAAATCTTTTCAAAAAGTAAACTTTGCTTACAGGCACACAAACAAGGGAGTAAGAAAAAGACAATGTGCTATGATTTTAAAGTATAAGCTAAGTATTTAGCCTGGTGTGGTTGAGGCATCGACGTTATAAGCCTTCTGTTTCCTTCAACTAGAAGAAATGTCATAAGATGAACGACTTCAAGGAAAGCTAAGGGCGCTATCTTAGGAAATGATGCGATAGCGGGTGTGTACGTGGTGGGTTTGGATGGTAGGTTCTCCCAGACTGCATGTATCTGCAGCATTCCCCTTAAGTGCGTTATTGTTACCTTTCGTAAAGAAATGGCATATCGCCGCACTCGAAATTCATAAGATAAATGCAGGAAGGTACCATAAAGAAACATGGTACCATGAAATCCAAACTTTAGGTTGGAATCCAAGCGCAGCACGAGCCCTGAGGATCCCGAGCTCTCCCGGTGCCGTCGGTGCAGTCACTCACCTGGGTGTATGGGTTATCCAATAGAGCTCGGAGGAGACCGTTTGCCACCACCTTCGGCTGATCACTGATGCTTCTTTCCAGCCCCGCTCTCCGCTTTTATACGAGCACGATTTCGCACTCACTCTCCCGACTATTTTGAAGGAAAACTAGGCCACGCCATTGCTCGCCACACCATTTTCGTTCTTATCGGGCAGCCTTCCAAAAGTTTTCTCTCGAAGAAGGCCGGGCCTCTTGCACATCCCGCCCGCTAGATGGAACGTCTTAATCGGACACTCGCACCACGCCACGGTACCCACTAATCAAAAACCTGCAAAATCACCGCAGATCATAAACTTAAACATAACTTAGGGCAGCATAGGCCTTTCCAGCATTCCCAAATCCCCGCAGTGTGTGTTTGCGTCCTGCTGCAAAAACGGGTGACGGAGGTCGCCGGCATGATGCTGTGTCGTGCGCGGCTTGTGGGCGGGGCCAGTGCAGGCGCCGGTCGGTGGGTCGCCGTCGCGGCGTAGTGTGCGCCGAACGCGCCCCGGTGGCGCGTGCAGTGCCTGCCCGGCGTCCGTGCAGAGCGCGTCCGGCGGCGGCCAGCAGCGGCCAGCGGCGCTCGCCAGCATGGCCGGCGCCCAGCGGTGCCTTGGTGACCAGCGGAGTGCTGCTGCAGGTCCGGTGAAGTGGCGGCGGCTCGGCGCACGCCGTGCCTCACGCTGTGGTCGCTCGCGGCGGGCACTGCAGAGCGGTGCGCGAACTTCGCGGAACGAAGTGCGGGGTTGCGCTTGTCAGCAATGATTGCTTTTCGATTGAAGGGATTTGGGCTGTCGAAGTACTGGCTGTTCCATTCAAATGTGTGCGGCGCCCGCCCTTTCTGCTAGGATGAGAGGCAGACGAGGCTAATTAGCCCCATTTGCTGAATGCGTTCTAAAGCCCCGTTGAATCTATAAGTGAGATACGTAGGGCTGCGTCAAACTATTCAGGCATTTGACAACTCCGTCTTCCACATGGTGCTCTTTGCGCCTTAATAACTACGCAAAGTGTACCTTCAGCATGGACTCTATCTACGCCGAGCACACGGCAGCCTTACCTCCATTACAGCAGTATTATTAGCCCATAGAGTTACGGCCAGCGTGGACGCGGTAATGAAACACTTGTTTGGGACTTTTTGGGATTGAAAAGAGCCGTTTACTCACAAGTGTTCGTTGTAGAAAACACGATTTTTTGCAGTCTTAGTAGAATCCCATTCCCTAAATTACAAATTCCTTTCAGCCGTCATAACTTAAAACAGGTGGAATCGTTCGTGACTGTAGAACTTGCTTCCCTAAAAAAACGTCATGCCAACTCGTTGCCGATGATTAAAAACGTTGCGAAGAATTGCCAATGTCCTGTTTACCGAGCTTCCCGACTTTCCTACAATGCACGTCTGTGCGGTTGTTTTATGCATTATCAGCGTGCATGGAAAGCAAGAAAAACGGGGAAAAGGATGCATATTGCTTCAGCGTGGCAATTTGTTACAGACGACGCTTGGCGAAACGTTCGTGCGGCTGGTGCGTAGCGCCGCAGTGCGTCACACACGGCTCACCCATGCACCTGGCTTGCTCGCGTTAGCTGGGCGTTAAGCGGCGGCGGTGGCGCGTAATCGCGGCGCGCTTCACCGCGGCGCGCGGCTCCGGCGGCGGCTCACGCGGCGCGGGCTGCCGCCGCCCGCTGCAGTGTCGCGACACGGGCGGCGGTGGCGCGTAATCGCGGCGCGCCTCACCGCAGCGCGCGGCTCCGGCGGCGGCTCACGCGGCGCGGGCTGCCGCCGCCCGCTGCGGTGTCGCGACACGGGCGGCGGTGGCGCGTAATCGCGCGCGGCTCCGTCGGCGGCTCACGCGGCGCGGGCTGCCGCCGCCCGCTGCGGTGTCGCCACACTGGCGGTCGAGCCTCCGTCACAGCGCGTTGCCGAACGAACCAGTGTCTTAATTTGTGGTAGGTGCTTCCCCTGTGCCCTCCGTTTTCCCGGTTTTTATGTAACGTAAGTCACATGTTGGTATACTGAGGCAAGCTTTGCTAACGTCACCCCGCACCTCGATTAGCAAACAACGGTCACGTGTCAACACTGAGCCGTCGCTAGAAGAGCTCGCGCCCGCCCCTCTCACGCTCTCCGCGATGCAGGATGTGTGCAGACTTTTGGCTATGATGTGGGCTTTGTGGAGTCGTTGCCAGCGCCAGGTGCGGGCAGGTGCTCTGTGACTGGTGCAGTGTTCACCGCAGATCGTGGCGGCACAGGGAACCCAACTTCCGCGGCATCAACCACAAAGTTGCACGGTCATTGTGCGCGGTCGGTTGAAATGCTCGCTTCAGAGCTCACAGGTTTCTCCTCCGAAAAACCAAAAGGCTTGGCGAGGTTTACGTTAGGCCAGGCCCCTTTAACTACCGATCGTGGCCAGTCGTGTCGTGCGGGAACAAGTACTGTGGTATGCGCAAAACTACTAAAATGTTACTAAAATGCGTCGCACCAGCGATCACCATGCTGACTGTCCCGCCGAAGCGCTAATGGACGGACGGCAAGAGCGACGGCAAGAAGACTACAATTGGTCGTTTCGTTCAAATTTATTGGCTCATTTGGTCTTATGGCGGTTTCATGTTGTGTCAGTTACGAGCAAGAAGCCATGAGATACCTATCCCTTTAGAGCCCTGATCGTTCGTTTGCTGCCGTTTACTCGCACCGTCCATACCGTAGAAGAATGCCCGCGTAAGCACCACATCCTCGCTAGAAACCTGGCGCACTCTCCATGTTAGCTCTGGGTAAGGAAAAACGTGTAATGAGAAGTCTCTAACTGCTTCCATGTTTACCGAGGTCGCTCACGTCCAACAGCAGCTCAGGGCGCAACAACAAATTTACGGTGTTGACACAGCCTGAACACCACCAAGCAGCGCTACGATAATGGCAGTCTCTCTGTCATTATGGACGTTCAAAGTAAACAGAATACCAATTACGCCGCCGACAGCGGTGAACTGGGAGATCATGAACGTTGATGTTCGCGTCTCTTCATGCAGGCCCAGCGTTGGCGTTTCAATTCAACGACAATACAAGAGGTCGGCTCTGTGGCAATCATTTTGCATTTTGCGTCATGCAGAGATGATTTGCTACACCATAATGCGATGCCGACCCGAGATGCCAAAGAGTCGTCTGGCTCGTTACGGTGGCCGTTATCTGCTGGCTGTTGTTGGCACCTTCTACAGGGTAACTCCGTAGCTCGGCTGAGGTGTGCCGGACTGATGGCCCAGATGTAACATCTAACATTGCTTATAAAGATATTGTCATTTTTTGCTGTTGTCGTTACGAGTAATGTGATGCTTTTGGGCTTAGTAAGTTGCGTGCATTAAGAAATCACACAACTATGCATATCACCATTCCCGTAGCCGTAATAGTAGCACGAATGTTCACAAAACTTATGGAAATATGCACTAATGCGTGGAGACTGGCGAACCCCTCCTTCACGAACAGTATCACGTTTAATTAGAAGGGTTATTATTTAACTATTTATTATCTAGCAATTGCTACCAGGATATGATGCTATCCGGTATCAGCTTGTGGTACTCAGCAACCGCTGATTGACAGACATTAGTCAGGATAAATCGAAATTCATCACGAGCCCTATCACAACCCACCTGCCGAAATAGAAGGTTACCGATAGAGGAGGAATGTTGAGAGGAATGTGTGAGGGATGTGCGATTGGATATGGAAGGGTAAATAACAACCAGACATTGCTCTGAGACATGCGAATACACGTAGCAATGAATACCATGTAAAATATCATATTTATATGTGTGAATATCTACCTGTGAATACAATGCTTGCAAATGGCAGCAGAGGTATGTTGGCACTTGTAATCATGCTAAGTTGCTGTGGAAGGAAGAGATTTTAGCGATACACCTACGCGGTTCTCGCTCATGTGTTTGTAGCTGTGTCGATTGGTGGAATTTGCAAACCACGACGCCTACAGAACTGTGTTTATTTACTTCATCTTCATTTTGTGCAAACATGTCTGCGTGTTGTGTGTCCCGTGGCCGGTTTGATGGCAACCAAAACATCCAAGGATTGTGAAAACATGCGGCAGTTTTCAGACTATTACCCCCGTCTAGAGTGTTAGTATGCACAGAATGTTTCGCTCCAATGGACGGAGAGCTACTGGTCGAAGCGCTGTGTGCATACTTTACGCCGCACGAGGACGACGGTGCGCACAATTATTTCATTCGTGATGCTAATACCTCGTTGCATTCCTTCCGTAAAACCAGCTGGGTTCTCGTCAGCAAACAGCTGCTATGCGACTTGCCAACGACGCACGCCTGAACAAGAGAGCCTCGGCACCTATGCAAGTGACGGTGCGCTCTCTTATGCAAAAGTGTAGTGCATTTATATTAACTGTTAATTGACTGGAAGTGATGGCTAGTGCATTTGTGTTTTGTGTATGTATGAATCTATAACGGAGCAACTTTGTGACACGCGTCTACAAATTCGTGTACTTGCTTAGTCACATCTGAACCTTAGGCGTTTGAAACTGCGCCTTGCCACCATTCTTGTCACCGTAACACGTTATTTGGCTAATACAACATGCCCTCCAATAGTTGCGAAACCGTGTATTAGTTCGGGCTGAACGACGGCTGTGCATCGTGCGTCACGAAGGCCGCATATTCCGCCGAGCACAAAAGTCACGGCGCCAGATGATGCCATGACAAACTTGCCAACTGCAGTGGTGAGTCCAGCACACGAGCAGGCCCGCTGACCGCAGCGACGCCCGTCCCCGAGGCGGCCAACGGCTCGTGGATCCCCTCCCCCCAGCCGACGAGAGGCTGGGGGGTGACGAGTCACCATTCGGCAGACACGACATGACACGCACCATCCACTAGCTGTTTGACCTAGTGGCGTTACACCAGCGGGAGGTCCACTCAACCCTGGGCTGTCGGGCACCCGTGGTCGCGCCGTCAAACCAGCCGCGCACAGCTGCTACGTGGACAGGCTTACAGCAGGCCGACACATGGCTAAAAGGAGAGCCGACATAGAGCCGGGCAGACGGCAGAGCCGGTACGGAGCTGCAGGAGACCC